ATCTATCTATCTATCTATCTATCTATCTATCTATCTATCTATCTATCTATCTATCTATCTATCTATCATCTATCTATCTATCTATCTATCTATCTATCTATCTATCTATCCTCTGTCTGTCTGTCTGTCTATCTATCATCTATCTCTCTATCTCTCTATCTCTCTATCTCTCTCTTTCTTTCTCTCTCTCTCTGGGTACCAATCAGAATATATCTGCTGAACAAAACTCCTCGTTGGCAACAGGAAGGGCATCCGGGCAGTAAACATTCAGCTCCATTCAATTGCCCAGACTCCACCCCACTAGGGATTATAGGGTCGTTAAAAGGAGATGATGATTACATGACAGTTCAAACTTACAATGGCACTGGAAAAAGTGACTTACATCCCGTTCTCACACTTATGACCCGGTCACTTGATCAAACTTTGGGTGCTAGGCAACCGGCATGTATTTAGGATGATTGCCACATCCCAGGGTGCTGGAATTGTCATTTGCAATCCTCCCTAGGGAGCTTCTGGCAAGCCAAGTCAATAGGAGCAGCCAGTTTTGCTTAATGACTGTCTGGTTCATTTAACAACTCTAGTGATCCTCTTAATAGCGGTAGAAAAAAAAGGTTGTAAAATGGAGCACGCTTTGCTTAATAACTGCCTTGCAACAACAAACTTTTAGCTCAGTTTGGTCGTAAGTCAAGAGCTAACCTCATCTCTGTTCACTTGGGATCTGTAGCCTCTGTTTCAAAATTATTTTTCAATAAAATACTTTAAAAATAATCAGATACCTAGGAAGCATGTGTAGAAAATTTGAACGTTATGTCCTTCCTCTGTTATGAAGACTTTGCAGGTTTTTTTAACTCTGTTTTTCCCCCCCTTTTATCTCTCACTTAGTTTATTCCCATGCCTGTCCTGTATGGTGTGTTCCTCTACATGGGTGTTGCGTCCCTCAACGGTGTGCAGGTAAGTGTCAACCTTCACAGCCCAGCTCTTTTTGACAAGGGCAGTAGATATTCCAGAAACCCCAAGCTGGAAAAGGGGAGAACATTCATTCACACCGTCTTTTCTTCTACAAACAGGGGTGTCAAACTCGAGGCCCATGGGATGGATCCGGTCCACGGGGTGCTTAGATCTGGCCCGCGCGGTTGCCCTGGAAACAGTGAAGGATTGGCCCGCGGTGCCTCTGCCCATGAAAACGGAGCTCTCCTTCCCGAGCTCCGTTTTCATTGGCAAAGGGGATGCAGGAGGCCGTCGTAGCTCAAAGCGGAGATTGAGAGCCCGGTTTCATTGGCAGAGCGTGCGGGCTGCCACAAGCGCCCCTGGCGTGAGTGATGTCAAGCTGGCCGCGCCCTGATGCAGCCCTCAATGAAATCGAGTTCGACACCCCTCTTCTGTTCCCTTCCCTTCCCCATCCATTTACTTCCTCCCCTCCCCTCTCCTCATTGTGGGCCTGTGAGTCAGCATACAGAAACTCAAGTCTACAAATAATTATTCGACCCAGCTTAAGTCTCCTGTGATTGTTTGAAGCTTATCAGCGCCTTGTTGATTTTTGATCATTGATTCTCCAGTTTCTGGAGAAAGCATGAAAGGAGTCACACGGTGTTTTCTTCCCCCTTGCCTACACCAGTGTTACGTATTTGTTTTCACAGTTAAAAAAAAAAAACATATTAAAAAGCAAGATAGTCCTGCCCTCTGCAGAAACGCTCAGATTTCATCCTTGGAACATTGAATGCAAAGGTTGCCCTGCTGACATGATGAATCTTACCTGTAGCTTTAGATAAGGTTTGCAAGAGACACGCCCTGGTCTTTTAGTAAATACCCACCAAGTTCCTTGTGAAACAAATGCATGAGAAAGTAGATAATAAACTTATTTAAGTGTGGACTTTCTCAGATCGAGTTCATTTCCTGGTGAGTTCAGGGCTACGGCCAGGCGGTTCTCTTGTCAACAGCTGTACTGTCGGAGGGATCGGCCACACTCTTGGTACAATTTTTACACGTTCCGCGCTGGAGCAGATCAAACCCGGTTTTAGTGATCCAAGATCAACACCAGCCTCGATGAGCATTAACAGACATAGCTGTATAGCACCGTGATGGCAAACGTATGGCACCCGTGCCACAGGTGGCACACAGAAACCCTCTCTGCGGGCACGCGAGCCATTGCCCCAGCTCAGCTCCACTGCGCATTTGTGTGCGCGCCTCCCACTGGCTAGCTGATTTTCGGGTCTCTGCCGCGCATGCACAATGGGGCTTGAGGGCGGTCGAGCGCAGGAGGAGCGTGGGGAGTGCTGTGCCTCCCCGTGGCCCATTTTTGCCCCAGGAGGCTGCAGGGAGGCCTACTAGGCTCAAAATGGGGCATGTATGTTTGGGGAGGGCAGCACTGTTAATGCCCATGGTCCGTTTTTGGTCCCTGGAGGCTGCAGGGAGGCCTACTAGGCTCAAAATGGGGCATGTATGTTTGGGGAGGGCAGCACTGTTAATGCCCATGGTCCGTTTTTGGTCCCTG